AGGCCCGGAGATCCAACCACAATTTGTAACATCGTTCCTCTGGGAAAATGGATTCTAAGTGCCCAATAACTACCTTACAAATAGACTTTTGAATCATAGTCCATTTGAGAATAAGGAACTGTTTGTGATAGTAATACCTTCCATTGGCTTGCTGGAGAACTGCACAGAAGGGACCTATATTCCTCCACACGTGTGTGGTGAACCTGGCTAGTCTGGGTTTGATCAAAGATGATTGCTGAGTGGGCATGAAAAGTGTAGGAATTAAAACCAAAGTAGAGGCTGGAGACAAGTCAAGGGTGGGGCTGGGAGGAGAGATCTGCAGAGGCTTCAGTGCTAGGAAAGGTTTTCAGTCTCTGAAGGAAAAGTGGGATTCTGAGCAGTTGAAGCGAAGACAGAAGAGGATGAAAAGTAAGTTAGGAGTAGAGGAAGTTGAGGGCAAAAAGGTCAAGAGATGAGGAGTAAGAAGTGAGACTGATCAGTCATTTAAGGAAAATGTAAGGAAGTAAATGCCAGGAAGGTGAAGTAGTTCATAAGGAAGTCAAAAGATGCCCTCAGGACCCATAAATGATTTTTCCTAGATATTACATGGCAATATTTAGAATCAAGACGTCGACACATCAATTCATGTGCAAGTTCAACACATTTATTGAACACCTGCCATGGGTTAACATGATTAGAGGTTGGCAAAGGGACTTTTCTTCTTTTTTTTAATCTTCTCTCTGTTTCTGCATTTTGTATTGGTGTGTTGTAGTTGTACATATGGTGGAATTTGTTGTTAATTTTTGCACATGCATATAGTATAGCAGTATAATGTGGCCAACATCACTCCCCAGCACTTTCCCCCTTTCCTCTTGGCCTCTCACTTACTGGTCCATTTATTCAGACAAAGGGAGTTTCTGCCTTCATCGAATTTACAATTTAGTGTGATTCTAGCCAACCACAAAAATGAGCCAAAGCAGGCTAGGGTCTAATGGTGATGATAGATAGGAGATTATTATGTTTGCTTTATTTCATCCTTATTTTTGTGTGTTTGTCACACTGATTGTTCTGTTAGATTTTTAAGAGTAGACTACGTGAGACATGCATGCTGGGTATTCATTTTTCATCTTCACTGGAGCTTAGTAGCTACTCCAGTAACTATATCCTGGTTGGTGATTAAAATAGGTTTGACTCATGCAACCACTTAATTGAATTAGCATGTGACTGCTTATTAATTGTTTGCCTGAGAAAACTTTTAGTGTACTGTGTGAGGAAATCACTGCTCAACAGAATGTAAATGTCAATTTTTTTTTTATTACTCTAGCATAACTTAGTAAAGTTTGCCTTTCTATTTGCAAGTGGAGAGGGTGGCTGCTACTTTATCTACACTTTGTGATTCGACTCAGCCAGGGGGTCAGGGGGATCATTCACTCTAACGTGGATCCCAGCACCAGGAGGCCTTGTCCTGCCCTTCTGTCCTCACTGCATTCTTGGCTGTGATGGTTTGGACGTGTCCTAAAGTTCCGTGTGTCGGTAACTCAGTCCTTAATGCAGCATTCACAGGAGGTGAAGCCTAATGAGAGGTGATTAGGTTATGAGGGCTCCGCACATTGATCCAATTATAGAAGAACTTGGGGCTCCACATTTGATCTCCTGCTCTCTCTTTGGCCTTCTGCCATGGGGTAATCCATCAAGAAGATCCTCATCAGTCATGGCCCCCTGATCTTGAACATTCCAGCCTTCACAACCATGAACCATGTTCTTTATAAATTTCCCAGTCTCAGGTAATCTGTGACAGCAGCACAAAAGGAACTAAGACAGGGACTTTATGCATGTGTCTATAATGGCACTTACCATAGTGTTCTAGAAGGCTCAGTCCAGACAGTAAACACTGCTGCAACACTTACTGTGTGTCCTCCCATTGCTCTGATCCCAAGTTGTGTCCTTTCTATGTGCCCATGATAACAAAAATAGTGCTGCATGACCAGTGGGCTCAAGAGCTTGACTTTTTTTTTTTTTCTGAGCTCCAGCTATTACAGTGACATTTCCAGGGACTCTGTGGTTTAACTGATAGAAATTTATTCTTCATGATTCTGAGGGCTTGGAAGTCAAGATCAAGGTGAGGTCGCTTTTTGCAGATGACTGTCTTCTTTGCTGTGTCTCAGTTGGGGAGAGAAGATACCATAATCCCAGCACGAGGGCTCCACCCTTATGACCTAACTGCCTCCTCCTAAAACCATCTCATTGGGAATTATGGATTTGATGTAGGGATTTCGGGGGGACTCGAGTACACTTTTTGTGGTTCAACCTGAAAATATCACACCTTGGTGTAGAACCCGTGCGTGGTTCCCTGGCTGTGGCTGGTTGTGAGATGGTAAAGGCTTTCAGGAAGAGTAGCTGGGTAGGTTTCTCTGTGTCCGTCCCTCCACTCCACTCAAGTTCCAGCTCTCTTTCAGTTCCTTCCCCTACACATTTGAGTGGTGGGTTGTACACCTCTCAGGAACATAGCTTTCTGTTACCATGTCTTTTTCTGTTTTGCATGACTGTTAACAGAAGACCACAGGCTAGGTAAGTTACCAACAATGAGGTTTATTTGATGAGTGATTCTGGAAGCTGAGAAGACCAAGACTGAGGGACCACATCTAATGAGTGCTTTCTTGTTGTGGTAGAAAGGCAAAAGAAGGTGAGAGGATTAGACAGAGAGACAGAGAGGAAGCACACACGTGTGCAGGAAAGGGCTAGACTAACTTTTATAACAAGCTCACTCTCACAATTATGATGATCGTCCATTTGTGAGGGATGAAGTCACAGCCCGTGAACTTTGGGGACACATTCGAGCTCTAGCACCCATCTCTGACAGTCATCTTCCCAGCACTCAGACTTGTTCTGGTGATGCCTACTGTTCTAGTCCCATTCACTCATATGGGTGAGGGGCCAGCAGTTCACAGCTGGGGCTTCCCCACTCCTCCTCGAGCCAAGGAAGGAAGGCTACTGGTGTTCACTGTGTCCTCCAGTGTGCTCCAGCAGGAGCCCCAAGCATAAAAGGTGACTTTCTAATAGGACTCTGTATGTCTCTGCTCATGCAGTGTTCTCTAAAATAAGAGGGAGGGGAGAGGGAGAAAGAGAGCTAGAGCAAGAGAGAGCATGTGTGCAAGAGCAAGCTGAAGGCAGTGGTCTCTGTGACTCAAGGACTTCTGTTCCTTGACGTCCCTGTTTGGATTCAGGTAGAGGACCATGGGGATGGCCAGAGAAGCAAAAAGCACTGGGCTGCCCTGAGATCTGCTTGCCTACAGGGTGACAAATCTGCCTACTGAGGTTCATCCCTTTGGTGACATATTTCTCAGGAGATTTTTCAGTCCTCCATGCATGGACCCCTGGCAGCACTGCCCAGACCTGTCCAAGTTCCCCAGGGAACACACCTAGGTGTCAAACTCGGATTTTTCCTAAATGGAAGGAATTTTCTTCTCCCTACACAAATTCTAAAGAACAGGCTGTTTTCATGGATTAAGAGAATATAGACATTTTCAGGATGCTTATTGAGATCAGAAATGCATAATTATCAATGCAAATATACAGTTTTATCTTAATTTTTAATAAAAGTACAACTTTCATCTCATGGTGCATTTTTCTGTTTATTCTTTGTCTATGATTACATCATTAATGAAGCATTATCAATGATTCTATTTATTCACTGTTGGAAATAGAATCTATGTGTGTTTTACTTAATATAGGAAATTCTTAATGAATAAATATTAAGGAGAAAATGGGCTTTATTAAGTGTATACTATATACCAAGTCCAGTGCCAGGTACTTATCATTGATTAGCTCATTTATTCATAACAAAAGTGCCATAATGTGTTCTTAACCCCATTTGATGCATGAGAAAGTTGTAGTTGCAGTTTAAAGAGATTTAGTATCTTCTCCCACCCAAGGCCACAGAGGTACTAAGTGGAAGATTGGGACAGATCTCAGGCTGCATGGGTGCAGTGCAGGGCTCAGAAAAGGTCCTTCCAAAATACATCTTTATTTTGGCCAAGTACAGAGGCTCATGCCTGTAATCCCAGTGACTGAGACAGGAGGATGGCGAGTTCAAAGCCAGCCTCAGCAACGGTGAGGTGCTAAGCAACTCAGTGAGACCCTATCTCTAAATAAAATGCAAAATAGGGCTGGGGTTATGGCTCAGAGGTTGAGTGCCCCTGAGTTCAATCCCTGGTACCAAAAAATGTCTTTCTGGGAGAATGAACATTAAGACAATGGAAACTGTTTCTCACTTGGCAATAGCAGCTGATCCTCAACTGAACTGGAGGGAGCAAGATTCCTGTTAAACATATTTCTTTAAGATCATAATGCATGTTATTATTTGATAAATTGCATGTAAATGTAACTTAATAACCAAAAGACCATTGTTTAGACAATAATTTCACCAGACTTTTGTACTTCAATAAACTTCAAATTGCATTTTTAATATTTGAGCCAGTCTTTTTTCCCAATATTAATAATGTTTCTATGCTTTAATTCCATGTGACAACAAGCACCACACCAGGGTACTAATTTTGGCTGGTAGTAATGTTTTGTTAGGTTTTGGCAGTTTAATGTTATAGAGTTTGCCATTTGAGTTCTAATAATGCTATCTTTTTCCCTAAAAACATGTTTGTTCATATAGTTTTATATAGTTTCCTATTCTAGAGGCACCAAAGATAACATGTGTGTAGTGTAAAGAGAGAAAGGCAGTCCTTAAATCTTTAGTAATCAAAGTTCCATGGAGAAGAGTTTGGATCCCTAGACCAGCTGTAGATCCCAAGAAGAGTGGATTACTGTAAATATCAAATGCGTCTCACTATGAGCAAGTTTTTGCCCATCTCTAGAGGGCATTCCAACAAATTTTAATATTAGGATTTCTGAACTGTTTCTATATTTTGCATTAGAACGCGCATGTTCTCATTTCAAGGTCATTGCCTTTGAATTCTGTTTTGCCAATGCTAAACGCACAGTAACAATTATCCCCTCCATTCTTCTTTCAGGCCACTCGGGCAGCCATCACCCAACATTGCACAGACCTTGGAGATTTGCTGGGCAAGGAAAATGATGTGGCTCTGATCATCGATGGCCATACCCTCAAGTATGCCCTCTCCTTCGAAGTCCGGAGAAGCTTCCTCGATTTGGCGCTGTCTTGTAAAGCGGTCATATGCTGCAGGTGGGAATCTGCAGGCTGTGCCTAGTTCATGTCCTGACATGCCTGCGTCCTGTGTGTCTGTAAAAGAAATTGGTGCAAGGGAGTTCTAGGTGTCAAGTTTTACATATATAAAAAAATAAGCAAAACAAAAATACAAGGTTATCTTTAATTGTTGGTTCACAGGTTTTGCAGAAGGCAGTTAGTGTCTTTTATGTTTTTGTTTTCTTTATGGCCTTCTGAGAAGACAAAAGAAGTAAGAATCAGAGGTTTAGGTCCTATTCATAACAAGGGGAAATATTGAAAACATCTGCCTCAAGCCAGCATGAGAAGTTACCAGGGTCCCACCTAGTTGGCTCCTTGTTCTGAATGTGTGAACTTAACTCCCAAGGCTGTGGGGCTTTGATGCCTTTTTCCTAATGTTCAGTAAGTATTTTTTTGGTCAATGAAGAACTCTGGTTGGGTTCATATGATACCAATTTTTGTGTTAAGATTCAACTCTGGTCTTTATGGGTCCTTCGTGGAGCCTGGAAAGGCTTTTTAGGGGGGACATTGATACGTTCCATGACTCCTGGCTGTGTGGAGGTCCAGTTCTGATAGAGATTTGAAAGCCAGAATTATAAAGAAAATAAACTCCTAGAAAGATGAATGACCACCCAAGGCCAAGGACATGCAGATGGCAAGAAGGGTAGAGAGAGGTGATGGGAAACTTTTTTTTCCATGGTTTTCCCTTTGTGTCTATGGCATGAAGTTGCTGGTAGGGGCAGGCACCTGATTTCTATGAATTCCTCAACACTGGAGGTTGTCACTGTGCTGACCCTAGAGTTACAAGTCCAGGTGAGCGGGTCACGTCTGACTGCCAACCGCCATGTTGGTAAGGGAGCGGCTTGTTAGTGGCTAGAAATGAGCAGCAGCACCAGAAACAGTGAGAAACAGCGTGGAAAAGTCTGCTGACCTGTGACTTGAAGGMAAACATGCTAAAACCTTATAAAGATTTTTTAAAGGGAAACCAGAACGAGTCCGTTTGGATTCTCAGGGGAGAGCCAGGAAAGCCTTAAGGCTTTACGGGAACATGCTCTTTTCTTGCCAGGTGCTTGATACTAAAGAAAAACATCTTTTTCCCCTTCTTGCTTTAGCTGTTTTCACGGTGCTTTGTGTGTCACATACGGCTGTATGCTTAAGGATATTGCAGGAAGGAGTTCAAACTGCAATTGGCACAGAAAGGGGAAATTTCAAATTAAATACTGTGACAGTCTACAAAATAGAAGCATTAATTGAAAAGGAGGAGAATCCAGGATGGTGCACTACTTTCCTGCTGTTGAGATATTTCTTGGCTGATCTCACACTTCAGATTAAAAAAAAAAAAGCCTTAAAGAAAGCACTTCTATATTTCATGTGTACACATTCATCAAGAAGTTAAGCCTAAGCTAATTTTAATATGTCACTTCAAACATGAGGTCAGTCTTAATTCTCCCTTTCTGTCTTTAAAATGTAGCCATGTAGGAGTTACCCCTTTCTCTAATTACAGAAGGAAAAAGAATTTATTTTTTCAGAAAAGAGCTCTTCTGTAAAATAATTACATATTCTCTTAAATAGTCACTTTGGATTAGGCAGAAGGGAATGAAGGAAGGGGAGGGGATATGGAGGTAGAAGGATAGCAGAATGAATCAGACATTATTACCCTGTGTATAAATACATATGACTACATGACCGGTGTGATTCTACATCATGTACAACCAGAAGAATGAGAAGTTACACTCCCTTTATATATGATATGTCAAAGTGTATTCTGTTGTCATGTACAGCTAATTAGAACAAATTTAAAAATATTAATTCAGAGATTGGTGAATGTTACACAAAAATGGGTACCTACCTTTAAACTAAAGTGATACTTTAATCAGTAGAAAAAGGACCAATGCAAGAATCTGTTAAGTAGTTTACTGAAATTTGAATCAAACATTTTTGCTAACTATATATTTTGGTACTTAAAAATTTTCCATGTAGATAGAATCCTATAAAAGTCATAATACAGTCAGTGGTGTAGTTACTGATCAGTAATCTTATGCAGTTACCACTGTATAAGACAGGGATGTTGCCCATTATTTTTTGAAGTTTAATTTGTCAAAGAGGATTTTGATTGTGAACTTGATATTTGTGTTGTACCTTCTGAATGTCATAGAAGAATAGGCAAGATCTGGTCTTTGCCTTTAAGTACAAATAGTGAATTAGAGATAATGGTATTGGCCTTCTTTGAATCTCATGTATACCCTTGTCTCTTAAAGTCTGACCCTCAGTGAGGCTATCATGCTCCATCTCTCCATCTTGCCTTATGCAATAGACTCTTTTGGTTCCTTTTGGCATTTGCTATTGGTGGTTCTTCCCTCCAGGGAGTTTCTTCTCTTTCTGTGACACCTCTCTTCTCCCTATTTATCTGTCTTCTTTACAACCTCTTTTTCTGGTAACCTCTGATCCTCTCCTTTTCCTGCTCCATATGTGCATTCTATCTGTTTTTATGACCTTATCTGCCTTACACATTAATGATTCTCAATACCAGCTTATATAGAATCATCTGTAGAACCTTATAAAAAAAGATTGTCCTCAAAAAGTTAAACATAAGAGTACCTTATGATCAAATAATTTAATTCCCAGGTATACACTCCAACTAATTAAAAACAGGCCCTTAAATAAATACTTGTATGTGCATATTCATAGTAGCAACTCTGTTTACCATACCCCAAAATTGGGAACAACCCAGATGTCCATGATTTCATGAATGGATAAACAAAAATGGTATATCCATGCAATGGAATATTATTATAAAAAGAATTGAAGTAGTGATACATACTACAGTATGGGTAAACCACAAAAGCATGCTTAGTGAAAGAAGCCAGTCTGTCTCACATGCACATGCATGCACACATACAAATACATACAAACACATACACACAAAGACCACATAGTGTATGATTCCATTATATGAAATATTCAGAATAGGCAAATTCATAGAACCAGAGAGCAGGTTTGTAGTTGCTGGGGGCTTGGGGTGGGAGGAATGGAAATCATTGCTTAATTGGGTATAGGATTTCCTTTTGAGAATGATGAGGTATGGCAGGATTAGAAGTAGATGATGGGTATACAACATTGTAATTACGCTAAATGCCATTGGATTTCTATACTTTAAAATGTTCAATTTTATCTTATGTGAATTTTATCTCAATAAAAATATAATGAATAAAATAATTAATCTATTTAAATGAAAAGTATGTTGAGTAAAAAAACGTTCAAATGAAATGTTGGCTGAATGAAAATAAAGAAGACTGACTGCCAGATGCTATCCCAGAGCAATTAAATCAGAACTCTAGGAATTTTACACACACCTGGTTGGTTCCGACTGGCATTCAAGATGGAGAGCAAGGACTTCTACAATCTGCTTATCCATTGTGGCCCCATCTGAGTCTCGGACTTTTTCATACCCACATTCCCTGGGCACCGTAAATTCAAGACCTATCAGCAGAATTAGCCATCATCTCCCCACCTGCACCTGCCCACTCCTTACCTTTACTAATCTTTGAAGTTCACTGTCTCCTTGATGGCTCCACTCTGTTTTGCGTTGCCAGAGCCATTCAATAGCATCAGTAGGCATGACTGTATTAAATCGACACCAGAAATTCCACTCTTTGTCTTTGTTGATCCACGATAAGCATTGTCTTTGTTTCTATAAATGAGGAATCAAAGGCCGCAGAAATTAAAATTTATTATCTTGCCCATGTCCTCAGCTCATAATGGAAGAAGTAGCATTTATCCTAGATCTGAACAATGTCAGAACCTGTGCTTACCTACTTGGCTGTGTGAGCTCATTCAGTCCCCAAAATACTCACAACTTCATCTTACAGTTTTTGCTTTTACCCTATTCTTCAGACTGTAGAAAATATTTAGTCATATTCAGCATAAAATCTCACAGGATTCGTCATTCTCTAAAAGGATAGAAGGCATTTAGAAAATGTGTAAACCATTCCCAATATGTTAAAAAGAAAAGAAAAGGAAAAAAAAGTGTCTTTCCTCTTTCTCATTTTCTCTCTTTCTTTGAAGTCTTTATTTTTGTCAAAATGGAAATAAGTTTTGAAGCACAGACTACCAGAGGGGTGGACTTTGACCTCTTAAGAATATTCAGAAATCTTAAATGACTGTCTCATCAGGAAAAGGGTCATGAAAATATCATCAGTGGCCCCCATGTAAGAAAGTCAGTGATGGTCCCTCCACAGTGCCCTGCAAGTACAGATGACTTTGTACTTGCCCCCAAGTGCTGCCTTGTTAGTGGATATGATTTATGGCTCCATGTCCCTGGACAGGAGAAGGAGTAGGAAGAAAACCCACAGCAGGGACTTCCACTGCATGTGCAAATTAAGGGTTTCAGAAGGTATCATTTATTTTCTCGGATGTGTTTAGACTTCTGCCTCTCAGGATAGATTCAAAGATAAACATGCAAAAACATACTGTGATACCAAAGAATAAAGATGGTTGGGAGAAAAAGGCAACAGCCTCATGAAATGTTTTTAAAAAACTTTTTTGGGTTTATTTTTCTGACTTTCAAGAATGATTTATAACTCTTGCAAAAAAAAAGAGAGGGAGAAAATACAGATAAACAAGAAAAAAGAAATCAGCATTCACAATGTCGCAAACTAGTGATTTGCTGTTAAGAATTTGTGCTAAAATCTAGACCTCCTTCTGTGAAAATATTTTATTGAAAGAGGGGTTATATATGCAATATGTGCATATTGAAAAGTTATAAACAGTTTCTATGTCAAGTAGTAATATAAAATATTTTTTAAAAGCTAATGTTGTAAGAAAACAGTCAATCTATTTCTGGTTGATGGATATTCAGGTCAATGACTTTTTTTTTAATCATAAACAGTATGTAAGTCTTTGCAAAGATACTTGATGATTTCCATAAAACAAGAATGGATTCATGGGTAAGCACCATAGAAATGTACAGCAGAGTTTGCTCTTGTCATCTGAGAAAAGTG